CCCATTGTTCAATAAAAATAAGAGTAATGTCCATATCAACACTCTTAGACTGTGCCACTGTTTTCGTCCTCTGGCACGTGAACTGAAATCAGCTGATTGTGGAGCATGTGTAAGAGAAACCGCTAAGTGGGATCAATAGGGAAGCGGACTAACAATTCTGGGGAATTCAATTACAAGAAGCAGTTCTCGATTCCTATCCCTTATAATGAACACATTCAGCATCACCTGATCTAGCTGTAAGCTTTCTGATGGGTCAGGTTTGTTTCAGAAGGGTTAAAAAACAGAGAAGCAGTGCTTTGTTATCTGCACACATAAATGAAACTTCTTCCTCACTGTGGTACAGGAATGGCTCTGAACCATATTCTCCAGTACAACTTCAAACCCAACGTGGGGTTGCGTCCAGACTCCCACAAAATCAGCATCCTGATCACTGATGGAAAGTCACAGGATGAAGTCATCTTAGCTTCACAGAACCTGAGAGACAGCGGCATCGAGCTCTATGCTATCGGTGAGTGAGCTTCACTGGTTTGAAGAAAAGGAAATGAAAACACATTTGAACTTTTGGATGATTGCTACCTGCATGCAGCGAAGCAGAAAAAGTACCTGACTTTACTAGAATGGGCTGAAAATGATCAACCAGCAGCCACTTTAGTCATCTTCCTTCATCAAACTCATGGTTTATTTTTCTCACAGGTGTAAAAAACGCTGATGAGTATGAGCTGAGGTCCATCGCCTCTGACCCAGATGACATTCACATGTACAACGTCTACGACTTCCAGTTCCTGGTGGACATCATTGACAAACTCTCTGTCAACCTGTGTAACAGTGTTAAGGGCTCAGGTAGGGAAGGAGCCATTTCAGCATTGTCAGAACAATCTCAAAGATGGGCCAGTATTTCAAAAGGCTGCTCAGAGAATCTAGTCTGCATCTGATCTGGACAAGACTTCTGAGACATTTTACATTTTCTTAAATCAAATAGTGATTTATTAATATTGCTGTCTCAGAGATGTCAGTCATTGGTTTGTGGACCCTTCAACTTTACCTCTATGCTTGTCATGGGAGTTAGAAGTGACCACATTTGGATAAGAGAGAGAAGTTATCAGCTAATGCAAATAAGATGCAACCATAAA